GGTCTCGAACCCGCCGAGCTCAGGCAATTCACTCACCTCAGCCTCCCAAAGTGCTGGGATTACAGGCTGAGCCACCAAGCCCGGCTTGGTTGTAATAGTTTATACTTGCTCTGGTAGTAGTGTTTTATGTTTTCTTGTTCACACATGAAAGCTGACAGTATTGAATTTTTGGTCTAATGAGTGTAAATCAGATTCGGTTTTGAGTGTATTTGGAGGTGCTTCTCAACTTTAATGTGTCCATGAATCATTTAGGATACTATTAAAAGTTGTTGTCATTGTTGTTGCTTTGAGTCAGAGATTCACTCTGTTGTTCAGACTGGAGTGCACTAGCACGGTCATAGCTCACCGTAGCCTCAACCTCCTGGGCACAAGTGATCCTTCTGCCTCAGCCTGCAGGTGGCTGGGACTACAGGAATGTACTACAACTCCTAGCTAATTTTTTTGATTTTTTTTTTATAGAGGTGAGGTCTCACTGTATTGCTCAGGCTGGTCTTGAGCTCCTGGGCTCAAGTGATCTTCTTGCCTCGGTCTTGCCTCCCAAAGTGCTGGGATTACAGGTGTGAGCCACTACACCCAGCATAGGTTTTGATTCAGTAGGTTGGGTTAGGGGTGATAGCTGACTGATTCTGCATTTCATGCAAGCTCCCAGGTGATGCCAGTGCTGTTGGACTACAGACCACCCATACTTTGGTACCAAAAGTCTAAGACCTAAAGTAGAGTCTTGCATCGCTTAACAATGGGTCTTAACAATGGGGTTCATTCTGAGAAATGCATTGTTAGGCGATTTCATCATTGTGAGAACATCAGAGTGTGCTTACACAAACCTAGATGGCTTAGCCTATTCCACACCTAGGCTATATGGTATAATCTATTGCTCCCAGGCTACACATCTGGACAGCATGTGACTGTCCGAATACCGTAGGCAATTGTAGCACTATGGTAAGTAGTTGTATATCTAAACTTACCTAAACATGGAAAAGGTACAGTAAAAATGTCATATAAAAGGTAAAAAATAGGCCAGTCTCGGTTGCTCAGCCTGTAATCCCAGCACTTTGAGAACCCGAGGTGAGTGGATTGCCTGAGACTGTGGGTTTGAGACCAACTCGGGCAATTTGGCGACACCTTGTCTCTGCAATAAATACAAAACTAGCTGGGCATGGTAGCATGTGCCTGTTGTTTCAGCTACTTGGAAGACTGAGACAGAAGGATCGCTGGAGCCCAGCAGATCGACGCTGGGGTGGCCATGAGTATGCCACTCTACTCCAGCCTGGGCTACAGAATGAAACTCCAACTCAAAAAAAAAAAAAAAACAACTAAAATACAGTATGCCTATACGGGACATATACTATATGGGACACTGAACATGAATGGAACTTGCAGGACTGGAGGGTGTTCTGGGTGAGTCAGTGAGTGAGTATGAGTGAATGTGAAGGCCTAGGACATCACTGTACACTACTACAGACTTAAATTTTTTATTTTTCCCAAGATTAGTATTTTTATTTATTTGTTTTTATTATTTTTTATTTTATTTTAAAGATGTGGAGTACAATTCAGGATTAGGTATACAAGTGGTCATCATACAGGTAAAGTCTGGGCCTCCCTTTGGTCCCCATTTTGCCTGCTTTGAGATCAGGTGCCCTTATTGATGTTGTGTCCTCCTGCTTCCACCCCCGACAATATCCCACTATTGCTAATCTCTTTCTTGTAGTATTATGGTAAATGTTCAGGGTCTGCTTATGAGTGAGAACATGTGGTACTCTGTTCTTTGTTTCTGTCATACATCACTGAGTATGATAGACTCTAAATACATCCACGTTGCTGCGAAGTCCATATGTTTGTTCTTTATGGCTGCATTAATATTCCATTGTGTATATGCACCACATTTTTTTTAGTCCAGTCCAGTTTCAATGGGCAGCACAGTTGGTTCCATGTTTTTGCCATTGCGTATAGGCTGCAATAAACATGCATGTGCAGGTATCTTTTTTGTAGAATGATTTGAGTTTCTCTGGGTATATTCCCAGTAGTGGGATTGCTGGATCATATGGAAGGTCAATTTCTAATTTTTTTAGAAATCACCATACTGTTTTTCAAAGAGTTTGCACTAGTTTGTGCTCCCACCAGCAGTATAGAAGCGTTCCTTTTTCTCCGCATCCTTGCTAGCATCTGTTGTTTGTTTTATGAATCATGGCCATTCTTACTGGGGTTAGATGGTATCTCAATATAGTTTTGATTTGCATTTCTCTGATGAGGAGTAAGGCTGAGCACTTTTTCATGTGTCTGTTGGCTGCCCGTGTATCTTCTTTTGAGAAGAGTCTATTCGTGTCTTTTGTCCATTCTTTTTTTTTTTTTTAGTTGGAATCTCCCTCTGTCACTCAGTTTGGAGTGCAGTGGCATGCTCATGGCCACAGTAGCTTCAACTTACTGGGCTCAGGTGATCCTTCCGCCTCAGCCTTCCAAGTAGCTGGAATTACAGGCATGCGCCATCACACTCGGCTAACTTGTTGATTTAATGTAGAGATGAGGTCTAGCTAAGTTGCCCAGGCTAGTCTGGAACCCGTGGCCTCCCAAAGTGCTGGAATTATAGACGTGAGTCACTGTGCCCAGCTCTTTTGTCTACTTTTTAATGTGGTGTTTGTTTTTTTCCTTTCAGCAGTTTTGAGTTCCTTGTAGATCCTGGATGTTAGGCCTTTGTCAGATTTACAGTTGACAAATATTTTTTCCTATTCTGTTGGTTGTCTTCCCACTCTCTTGATGATTTCTCTTTTTTTTTTTTTTGAGTTGGAATCTCACTCGGTTGCCCAGACTGGAGTGCAGTGGCCGCTCCCGGCCACCGCAGCCTCACCTACTGGGCTCCAGCGATCCCTCCGCCTCAGCATTCTGAGTAGCCAGAATTATAGGCATGTGCTACCATGCCCGGCTGATTTTTTGATTTATTGTAGAGATGAGGTCTCGCTGCCCAGGCGGGTCTCGAACCCACGGGCTCAGGCAATCCACTCACCTCAGCCTCCCAAAGGCACGGGATTACAGGCTGAGCCACCGAGCCCGTCTTTAGCTCCCACTTATAAGTGAGAACATGTGATATTTGATTTTTCATTCCTGTATTACTTCACTTAGGATGGTGGTCTCCAATTCCATCCAAGTTGCTGCAAAATACATTATTTCATTCTTTTTAATGACTGAATAGTATTCCATGGTGTATGTGCATGTGTGTGTGTGTGTATGTATACACACACACTACATATATGTCTGCATACACATGTGCCACATTTTCATTATATACTGATCAGTTGATGGACATTTAGGTTGAGTCCACATCTTTGCAATTGTGAATTGTACTGTGATAAACATACAAGTGCAGGTGTCTTTTTTGTATAATGACCTATGCTGCATTGGGTAGATACCAAGTAGAGGGATTGCTGTATCAAATGGTTAATCTCCTTTTTTTTTTTTTTTTTGGGAGTTGGAGTCTTACTCTGTCTCCCAGGCTGGAGTGCAGTGGCATGCTCACAGCTATCACAGCCTCTACCTGCTGGGCTCAGGCTGTCCTTCCACCTCAGCCTTCCAAATAGCTGGAGCTAGACACGTGCCACCATCCCGGCTAATTTTTTGAATTATTGTAGAGATGAGGTCTCACCAAGTTGCTCAGGCTGGTCTCAAACCCCTGGACTCAGGCAATCCTCTCACCTCAGCCTCCCAAAGTGCTGGGATTACAGGGTTGAGCCATCACGCCCAGCCTAGAATAGCTTTGAAAGCAACAGTACTGGGAACAACAATTCTTAGTCTAGCTTGGCAGGTAGGCAGTCCAGTTGGGCGGTGGACTCATCCATTCGTTATCATATCAGTGCCTGTTTTTTGATCTTGAATGCCCTTGGAGGATAAGACAGGTCTGGGCGTTTCTCAGAAACACCTAAGTCCTTTAGACCCATTGTGATAGATGGCTCCCGAAGGCCTCGCAGCTATGGCAGCAGTTGTCCAAATAATCAGATTGTCCACCTGGACCCAGAAGCCTCTGTGCCCATCATTGTCAGACTAGCACAGTGTGTGTCTGTATCTCATAGTTAAAGTCTTTGGAGAGGATCTAGTCACTGACCTGTTAGTTATGGGCCTACTCTGGGGCTATGGGCCAGAGCAGACTTTGAGAACCATGAATAGACAGTTCAGGGCATTAAATTAGTATACCACAAGCTTTCTTTTTGCTGGCTTGCAAAATAGAGGCTTAAGTGATTATTCATAATCTCCTTTTGGTTTGGTTATTCCTAAATAGCAGAAGGATTCTGTTCCTAAATCCATTAAAGATGGATATTTTTATATTGAACCTACAAATGTGGCTCCAACTCATTTTTATATATGAAATAAATGTCCTTTGTAGTATTTAAGATACCTACTAAGGTTTTTTTTTCCAGTAAACACCATTGTCTCTTCATATTTTAATAACAAATGTATACTATATTGAATTGTAAATAAAGTAATATGAGTTATTATTTAATGTTTAAAGTGTAATGCCATATACCTTACCTTTTGTTGAATATTGACATATGCAAAGGGTTGTAGAAATTTAATTCTAAGTCTTCTTTATAGTAATGGAAACCAGTACTTTATTTAATAAATTTGTCCACTGGAGAACTTCAGAGTCATTTGAAGACCTTACATGGGTATTGATTTCATAAAGAATGCAAAAATAGGAAACACTTTTAACTAAAATTGAATACAAAAGATAGTTCTGTATTATATTTCTGAACACAAAGCAGTTGTATGGCACAAAGCAGTTACGTTTTAAGCCCACAGAGTATAATATCAGTACTTGGGGTTGGTTTTTTTGGAGGGGGTGAGAAAGCAGGAGTTTATTAAGAATACAAAAAGGCTCCCAAGCGGGAGGGGACCCAAAAGAGGGCGGCCCGGGGTTGGTTTTAATAACATGCATGTTTTATACCTTTACGAGAATTTAAGTATAAATAGTTAATCTGATATTTTTAAATTATTTTGTTTTATTTTTTCAGATCTAATCCCTCGGTGGAACTTCTTAACATCCTTCATTAGTGGAAATATTTTCTATACAATGAAGTCAACAACTTAAATTACAGCCGTGTTTGTGTGGCTCTGATTCATCTGCTGTGGTTCATGAAACTTGAGATCTAAGGAGTGCAGGGTCTTTTGCGATGACAATATGACTAATAGTAAAGGAAGATCCGTTACTAATAAAACAAGTGGTGGTCCAAGTAGTGGAGGCAGCTTTGTAGATTGGACTTTACAGTTAAATGCAATTCAATCTGATAAGTTTTTAAACTTACTGTTGAGTATGGTTCCAGTAATTTACCAGAAAAACCAGGAAGACAGGCACAAAAAAGCAAATGGCATTTGGCAAGATGGATTATCAACTGCAGCACAGACTTTTAGTAATAGATCTGAGCAACACATGGAGTATCACAGTTTCTCAGAGCAGTCTTTTCATGCCAATAATGGGCACGCATCATCGAGCTGTAGCCAGAAGTATGACGATTATGCCAACTATAATTACTGTGATGGAAGGGAGACTTCAGAAACCACTGCCATGTTACAAGATGAAGATCTCTCTAGTGATGGCGAGGGAGACGCAATTGTGGAAGTGAACCCAAAATTACCAAAGGAATCCAGTGGCATCATGGCATTGCAAATCCTTGTGCCCTTTTTGCTCGCTGGTTTTGGAACAGTTTCAGCTGGCATGGTTTTGGATATAGTACAGGTGGGTTTTCATCTTTTTTAACTTCGCTGTCTTTTTTTTGTTATTCCATTCTTGTTTCAAATTCTATATGTAGGTTACTAATCTCAACCATTTACTTTAGATTTAGTTTTTCCCCTGTAAGATGAACAGATGCTGATTCTGGTAGAGAATCTGCTGTTTCTAGGTGGGAGTTTTTCTTTCTTTTCCTTTAGGAGTTCTAAAAAAAAAATAGTTATGACCATAAAGTAATTCTTCTTTATAGACCCCAAAATAGATTGACTCAAAGAGAAACCTAAAAAATGTTCTGTTTAAATACTTCCTTAATTTATAAAATAAAAATTAATATATACTCATCAGAATGAACTCAAACAATAGAGAGTATTAATTAAAAAAGGAAGAGTTTCCCTATTTCTCATCTTTAAACAAAAACTCTCCTCCTTTCTAGAGGTTACTACTGTTCAGAGTTTGTTATGTAGACTTGCAGACTTTCTTCTATGCTTACATATATACATATGTGAGAGTGTTTTTCAAAAATAAAAATGAAATGCTATATATATATATATTTCTGTAACTTATTTTCATTGCTTAATAATACATCTTTCCAAAGTGGTACACAAAGATTTTCTGCATTTTAAAATGAGTGCTTGATACACCACTGTATGTATATACCAAAATTTACTTATTCATTCTTCCATGCTGGTGCTTTACTAAATATCCTTATAAATATATCTTTATATACTTATACTAATATTTTCATAGCATAGACTTAAAAAATGAGATGCTGGGTATTATAGTATGTGTTTAAAATTTTATAGATATTGTTAAGTTGCTGTTCCAAAAGTTTGTATTAATTTGTACTCCTATTGTCAAAATGAAAGTACTTTTATTTTTTTCACACTGTTATTGACAATTCAGGTTTCTTGGTCTTTTTTATTTTTGCCAAATGGCAGGAAAATGTTATTATGTTTTAATTAACATTTATTATTAATGTCTAGAATCTTTTCATATGTTTACTGGCCATTCTTATTTTCTTCTATGAATTACTTTTTTGTATCTTTCATCCATTTTTAAAATTTATATGCTTCATATTGGTTTATAGGAGTTATTAATGTACTATAGCTACAAAATAACCTATGATATAATTATCTTTCTAAAGTAATTAGTTGCTGAAATATAACATTCTATTACTATTAATTTTCTTTTCTGTTTTTCTTATTTTATTTATTTACTTTACTTATTTACTTTCTCTATAGCTCACTTTACTTAATAATCAAAAAATGGCTACAGATCAATTTTCTCATCCATAAAATTAAGACATAAATTATAATTCATAAGGTTATGATAACATATATACAAATTTTAGAACAGTCACTAATTTCATTGGTACTTAATAATGCTATTTGTTGTATTAACCTTTGTTATATTTTTTAAAAACGATCCAAAATTCAGTGAATTAAAGCCCCTATTTTTTTTTTGAATCAGTCTCACTCTGTCACCCAGGCTGGAGTGCAGTGGCACGCTCACGGCCACCGCAGCCTCAACCTGCTGGACTCAGACTCTCCTTTCTGCCTCAGCCATCCAAGTAGCTGGAAATACAGGCATATGTCACCACGCTCAGCTAATTTTTTGATCTATTGTAGAGATGAAGAGATGAGATCTCACCAAGTCTCCCAGGCTGGTCTCAAACCTGTAGGCTCAGGCAACCCTCTCACCTCGGCCTCCCAAAGTGCTGGGATTATAGGCGTGAGCCACCGCGCCCGGCCAAAACAACTATTTATTTAATTCATTATTTGGGTTGGTTGGTTAGTTTTTCTGGTCTCAGATGGTTCAGTTTTTCTTTCCTGGGATCTCTCATGCCATCGGGTCAAATAATGAATTGGTGGGTGACTGGATGATCTAGGAGGGCCTAACTTGTCTGTTTATTAGCAGGTTGCTTGCCAGGGCAACGGGATGACTGGGGAATAAGTCTCTCATCTTTCAGGAGGCCAGATCAGACTGCTTTACACGTAGTTTGCAAGAGCAGCAAGAGAGGGCAAGCCTCTCTATGAAAGCGTTTTCCAATCTTTTTAAAATTTCTTTTTTATTTTGAAGATGTGGGGTACAAATCAGGATTGGGTACATAAGTGGACTATGTACAGGTGAAGTTTGGGCCTCCCACTGGACCTTAGTTTACCTGGATTGAGATCATGTACCCTTATTTTTTTTAATTTATTTATTTTGAGTCGGAATCTCACTCTGTTGCCCAGGCTGGAAGGCAGTGACATGCTCACAGCCACCACAGCCTCGACCTGCTGGGCTCCGGCGATCCTTCTGCCTCAGCCTTCCAGGTAGCTGGAACTACAGGTGTGTGCCACCATGCCTGGCTGATTTTTTGATTTATTGTAGGGACGAGGTCTCACCCTGTTGCTCAGGGTAGTCTCAAACCCACGAGCTCAGGAAATCCTCTCACCTTCGCCTCCCAAAGTGCTGGGATTATAGGGGTGAGCCTCTGTGCCCGGCAGTTGCACCCTTGTTGGTGTTGTGTTCCCCTCCTCCCCTGGCAGTGTCCCACTACTGCCAATTCCTTTCTTTTAGAATTATGATAGGTGTTCAGGGTCCACTTATGAGTGAGAACATGTGGGATCAGTTCTTTGTTTCTGTGATAGTTCACTGAGTATGATAGACTCTAAATCATTCAAGTTGCCATGAAGTCCATAGTTGTGTCCTCCTTTCTGGCTGCATAATATTCCATTCTGTATATGTACCACATTTTTTTATCCAGTCCACTTTTGATGAGCCACACATTTGGTTCCATGTTTTTGCTATTGTGAATTGTACTGCAGCAAACATACTTGCACAGGTATCTTTTTTGTAGAATTTGAGTTTCTCCAGGTATATTCCCAGAAGCGTGGGGTTACTGGGTCATGTGGAAGGTCAATTTCTAGTTCTTTTAGAAATTGCCGCACTGTTTTCCATGGAGGTTGAACTAGTTTGAATTCCCACCAATAGTATAGAAGCGTTCCCTTTTTCCACATTCTTGCCAGCATCTGTTGTTTTTTGTGTTATTGATGATGACCATTCTTCTGGAGTTAGGTGGTATCTCAAGGTGGTTTTGATTTGCATTTCTCATGTGAGGCTGAGCATTTTTTCATGTGTCTGTTGGCTGTTTGTCTTTTAAGAAGTGTCTATTCGTGTCTTTTGCCCTCGTTTTTTTTTGAGTCGGAGTCTCACTGTGTCGCCCAGACTGGAGGGCAGCGGCCGCTCCCGGCCACCGCAGCCTCGACCTGCCGGGCTCCGGCGAGCCTTCTGCCCCCGCCTTCCGAGTAGCCGGAATTATAGACCCGGCTGATTTTTGATTTATTGTCGAGATGAGGTCTCACCAAGGTGCCCAGGCAGGTCTCGCGGGCTCAGGCAGTCCACTCACCTCGGCCTCCCAAAGTGCAGGATTACAGGCTGAGCCACCGAGCCCGGCCAAGGGGTCCTGTTTCAGTCCTCTGCACTGGACAGCCAGCTTTCCCAGCCCCATCCACCGACCCAGTGGTCGCTGGTGGGGGCTTTGTCAAAGATGAGTTGGCTGAGGAACTGACGCTTTTCATTTGTCAGGCAGAGACAGGTGGGTTCTGAGAAAGTGCCAGACGGTAGCTGCCGCGTGCCCTTGCCGTTCGTTGTTTGCTCTCGAAAAGGCTCTCGGGTCGTTTGTGACTCTCAGACACTGTTCAACAGATAACACTTCTATCTAGATGGAAACTGCACAGAAATAGAAGCATGTTCTTACCACTGGATGGAGAAGGAATGTAAAAGGAACTATACTGAAGTACATTGACTTTTTAAATGGATAGTAATACCAGAGGGAGATCAAACCTATGCCGCTTGATGTATGATTTTTTAAAGATACGGCATTTTTTTGTTATAAAGATGGGGGGTACAATTCAGGGTTAGGTATACATACATTGATTATACAGGTACTCTTGTTGATGAGGTATGCTCCTCCCGACAGGCAGTTGTTTTAAGTTATTATAGTAGTATCACAGCTGCTGCAACAATAAACTGTTTTTTGGTTGACTTTGTAAAAATATACCTCTTATTCTGAAGAAACACTTGACATTTAGCTACAGAATGGTAGCATCAATAGGAACAGTTAGAATATAGATTGCCAGAATATTTTCATAGCTCATTGTGTACATTCTTCTGGTGTCATGTTTATTTCTTGATTTGAAAGAATAGCACATGTATAGTTGGAAAAAGTTCCTTTCTCTGATTTTGTGAACTTTTACCATGTTAGCCCAAGGATTTTGTGTTAAATTTAGTGTTAATAATCATAACAGTGTAATGTGTTTCAACAGATTTTGTTTGAATGTGCTTTTTAAAACTTTTTAATTGTGAAATTTAATACATCTAGAGTATACAAAACAAAAACATAGAACTCAGTGGGTTTCATGATATGAACAACTATACAACGGTCATCTAACTCCAGGAACAGAATCTTACCAACACTGCTTCATTAGGCTTCCTTGTGCCTTCATTCGGCTGCTCCCCCTTTTTTAATCCCCCATCACCAAAGGTAATCACTAATCTGATTTTATGATATTTTATGATAAGCACCCCCTCACTTGTCTTTATAAGTGTGCATCCCAAAACACCACAGTTTGGTTTTACTTGATTATTTTAAAACTATATGTAATATAAGTATAGCATATATGTTCCTTTGTGCCTGGCTGGTTAGCTGACTGGCTTGCTTATTTATTTATTTACTTATGTTTTAAAGGTGTCGGGTACAATTCAGGATTAGGTAACAAGTGGTCATCATGCAGGTAATGTTTGGGCCTCAATTTGATCCCCACTTTACCTTGTTTGAGATCAGATACCCTTACTGATGTTTTGTCCTTACCCCCCTCCCCTGGCAATATCCTGCTACTGCCAATCCCTTTCTTATATTATTATGGTATGTGTTCAGGGTTTGCTATAAATGAGAACATATGGTACTCAGTTCTTTGTGTCTGTGATAGGTAACTGAGTTTTATAGACTCTAAGTCTATCCAATT